TTGCCAAAAAGCACCCTTCTTCAAGAATATTAAATACGAAAGCTTGCTTCAAAGGTTTCCATACATTCTCTCTTTCTTTTACCGCTTTCTCTTTATGTTTATCCGTGCATTAGCTGTTAGGGCCATGTAGTCAATATTTTAAATTCCGCAAATAAATAAAGGGTAAAATCATCATTTTAAAGGTTTATTTATGAAATAAACGGCCCATCATAGAGAACCTGAAAGGGGCGTCGTAGGGAAGCTAATGCTTTCCCTACACATAACTAACTCCCTTGCCCAACTCTGGTTATAATGGCCAAAGTTGGTTTTTTAAAACCAATGCCTTCTTTTTTTTCCTTTTCCAATGTTTCTGGATAAAGCATTGGTGGTGACTCCAAAACCCATTTTCGAAAACCTCGCCTTTAGGTCCAGCCCAGTTATCGGACAACCTAAAGGCGTTGTAACGTCACTTTAAAAACGCGAGTCGAAGTCGGAAACCATCGCGTCGCTCCGACCGCCTCTTTTGACGGCGATGACATGCCTCATAAGTGAAGTGAGTTCAGTAAGCTTATTTTCTAGCCTTTAATTCTCTAATGCGATAGTTATACTTGTGGTTGTTTCGTGAACTAATCTTGTGACATGTCTTGAGCTGAACTGCTGAGAGTTTTCAGCCATGTTAGAGATGAGATATCTTGCAGCAACTGGGGTTTTTTCCATCAAGGCTCCTCCACTAGCTGCATTTAACATAGATTTCTCCATTGGGAACAAACCTTCATAGAAATATTGAATTAAATGCTACTCATTAATTTGATTATTAGGGTAAGTAGAATAAAGCTTATTGAATCTTTCCCAATACTCATAAAGTGTTTCTTCTTGAAGTTGTCTTATCCTACTACTTTCCTTTCTAATGGTTGTAGTCCATGATGTTGGGAATTTTTTTTCCAAAAACCTCCTCTTCGTATCATTCCAAGTCGTGATAGGCGTGGGTTGTAGATATAACCAATCCTTGGCTATGTCCCTTTTGGGAAAGACCTTCATTTTCATAAAATCTTTAAGTTGAACATACTACCTAAAACTCCATCAAATGATGTGAGGATCTTCTCCAAGTCCATGGAATTTGGGCAACAAGTTTATCAATCCTGACTTTAGCTCATAATTGGTTGCTCCCTCTTGCAGTTGTGGAACTTGAATGCACAATGGTTGGTAGCCAACATCTAGAGTAACTAGTTCCTTCAAAGTTCTCTCCATGTTATTTATGACCATGTCTCTCAAGCTTGAATGAGTAGTATCCTGACTTGATGCAGGAAAATCTGTTATTAGGTGGCTGTAAACAGATCAATCGAAATGGAAATTGAGAAACAGTAAACTAATCGAAATTGAGTTTGAAAACAAAAGCTAATTGAGATTGAAATGGAAATATAATCTCAAAATCGAACTATTGGAAGCAATCAAAAATACAAAATGGAGATTGAAAATAAAAATGGAAACAAGAAAAGAGAATAAGAAATCAAAGAAAATTGAAGTTGCATAAACGAAAATAGTGAATCGAAATTGAATTTGAAAACTTAATTCTAAAGTTGAATAAACGAATAGCAAATCAAAATTGTAATTAATCGATTCCTTACTTGTTTCTCAATCTAATCGATGCAGAGCAATTAGGAAGTGAAAAAATCTTGATTGAAATTCAAGAGCGGGAACCAATAAATGCAAGAATTATAGAGTACAACAATGGTAAAAGGTAGAAGAGTAAGCGTGGGAAAGAGTTGAACTGAAAACAAGAAACTGAAATTATAACAAAAAACATAGTATTCTTCAACTAGAAAATGTAGCAACTAAAACGTTCTCAAATTTCTAAAAAAAGAACATGCTAAAGTCTTCTTCCCTGCTCTATAAATTTGTCTAAAGGAGGGAAAACTAATGGACTAAAGTTGATTCAAAATTGGGCCCATACAATATAGTACCAAAAAAAAAAATCTAAACTTTTATGATCTATTAAAAATAAGTATGGACACAAACACGTTCCATATGTTCAAATTAAAGTTCCAAAATAAGAAATCGAATGCAAAAAAAAAACTAAAATGAACATTTATAAAAAAATATAAACAAAATAGTAAGTAAATGTCAATATTGATAATAGAAAAATATAAAAAATAGTATGTATTTATAGAAACTCCTATTTAATACTAAAAATACAAATATATACTAAATGTAATGAATAAAGGAAAAAGAAATACTTTAAAATATGTAGGAAGACTATGGGTTTAAAATATGGGTCATCGATGATATCATAAGGACAAAGAATATGTCCTATCAAATGTAAATATTAGTAGGAAAAAAGTAAATCACATATTAAATAAAATTACCTTATGAGTAATCAGTGTCAAATTCGCTGGCAGATTGAAAAAGGGATATTTTTTTTTTATGTATACGTTTATTATTGACTCTAGGTATCTTACTTCCAAATAATTTATTCATATGCATGTGGGTGGTCCAGGTGTCAATATGGGTTCTAATTTGTGAGCCAACCCGGTTCATCATGAGGTTCGAGCCAGTTTGGGTTCATTTTTTTTTTATTTCTATCGATTATGGGCTAAAAATGAACTTGACTCACTTAACCCACAGGTTAAACGGGTTCGAACCGGGTTATAGTGGGTTGACCTGCAACCCACCATTAATTTTAAATTTTAAAAATAATTATAATACTTTAGTAACCCTAATTGATGTTATCATGCCTCACCTCCACCCTATATTGTCGATGTTGGCACAAGCCAAACTCTTACCCAAACTTGTTATCAGTTGTTCGTTGTACCACTATGTTTGTCGCTGCACTTGGGTCACTTGTCTTATCTTCTGCCCACCACACCACTACACCACTGTGTCTACTATACCGCTTTTAAAGGTAAGAATTTGTAGCATAACCTGAACGATTAGATTGAATAATATTTATTTCAAAACTGTAGCATCTATACATTATTTGTTGTTTGTTATTGATTTATACGTATATCTCTTTAATATATGAATTTTTTACTTCTTTCTTTCAAATTAATTTACAGTATCGAATCTGAAACAATACATCAAAGTGTCAATGTGAATTATGTTAGTGATGATTTTATTATTAATGAAAAACTCAATGAGCCAATTTTAGTTAATAACGAAGATACTCGATGTTGAAAAAGAAAGGAAGAAAACAAAAGTTTTTACATACGAAATTTCTTTCTATATCATTTAAAAAATTAAAAAAATATGGGTTAGTGAGTCAATCCACCTAACCCACTAAATTGTAGTGGGTTGAGTCGGGTTGAACTCACTATTTTCAGCTCAACCCGTACTGAGCCAACCCATGTGAGTCGGTTGACTTACTTTGATACCCCTAAGTCTTATACAACCAACCATTATATACAACAATGAAAATTTGAAAATAATACACACCATCCTATTTTCATTATGAAAGTTGAAAATAGTGTTTTCTTAAATGAGGCATGAATTCTAATTCCCCTTAGAAACATTATAAATAATTTAGTGAACAAATTCCTAAAAGAATACATATTTAAAAAGAAGATTGTAATAAATGAACCTCTTGTAGAACAAATTTCATGAAAAAAAAAAAATGGTATCTTGTTTAGTAACACGAGGAACAAACCAAACACTAATAACGCCAAATTGTGACAAAGGCAAATTTTGTTATATATGCTTCAATAAAACAAAGCTATATCAATCACTTAAAACATATTTAAATATAAAACAAAAAACTCCAAAAATAACTGCTATAGTTTTTGGTATTTCTCAATCCTGAGATGTATATGAAATAATGTCTATAAATTCTCAAAAACTATTATTGACAATGCATCAAGATATTAGTTTCAGATTTTAATTTCAAAGTCAAAGTGTACAATGAGCCAACAACTTCCATATCTTGCAGAACAAATTTCATGGAAATTGATATCTTTTATTTAGTAAAATCAGAAACAAACCAAACACTAACAAAGGCAGATTGTACCCAAAATTTGTTATATATGTTTCAACAAAATAAAATAAAGTTATCAATCGGTCAAAACATATTTAGACATAAAATATAAAAAAAATCCAAAAATAACTATATAGTTTTAGATAAAAAACGTTAATATAAAAAGTATGAAAAAATATAATATATTTTTCATGAAAATATAAAAAAATTAAGTTTATTGGGATTGACTTTTTTATATGAAATAACTTTAAGATAAATATAAAATAAATAAAATATAATATATTAAAATTAAAGAAAATATAAATATTTATAATTATTTTTTTAATATAAATATATATTTTATAAAACATATGTTTATTTACAAAATATCGTTAATCGAGTATTGATTATAGATATACTATTAATAAATGATCAGATATGGATAATTTTTTTAAAATTATATATCATAATTCTACCTTTTATTATTTTTTATATAATTTACTTATTTTTCAATATATTGTGTACCCGTGCGTTGCATGGATAATAACGCTGATACTTTAACAATTTGCTGAGTGATAATAAAATACTTCATTTATCCCACGTACATGAATATGTCATTTCTTCAAAATCTATTGAAGGAGCAACGGTGAAAATCAATAACAATTTATTTTTTCTGGTGAAGAAAATTAATATCATACAAATTTCAGATATATAAATTTGGTTAAATAATAATAATAATAATAATAGTCTAATGCATAAAAAAATTTATGAAGATAGTTTTTATTTGCTGATAACTTTTGGATTTATTAATTTATAAGGTTTTTAGATTAACCAATTCAAAAAACAAATAATTTTTAATATATTTTGGATTGTTTAATTGATATTTTAAAAAATATGTTATATATTTTAGATCCATCTATTTGGAATTTTACCATATTCATACAAAGATGATATTATCACTTACAATAGATATGGGGTGATATAAGAACTATGGTGGTACAAAAATAAATAACTTACTTAAATGGGGCGGGCCGGCCTGTTGGTGCGGATGTGAAGCGGTAGCGCTAGGGTTAGGGCAATGGATAATGGAAGTTTTTTATTTTTTTTATTTTTATGTTTATTTATTTCCTCTGTATAAATAAAAACCCTGCTTCTTAAACCCTAGTTATTAGGTTTCGGCTATAAAGTCCTCCTGTATATTAGTTTTATCTTATTGCGTTTGCACATCAATTTGTCGCCGCTTACACTCTCTGCTTTCAAGATGGCTCCTCCAAGAGGTAGTTTTTCGGTTATGTGTTCAAGACTTTACAAGAAATGGGGTTTATGTGTCATGGATGGGGATTTAATCGCGGTTCTTTATGCATTTGGCTTTTACACTTTATAATATGGTATTTTATGACATAGATTATGTTTTGCTCGCCCATTTACTTGCATTTTGATGATTTTTGTGGTGATTAATAATTTTTTTTATTTGTAGATGAATGTAGTGGTAATAGCTTCCTTTTTTGTTGACAACTGTGCTTATTTCTGCAGGTCGTGGTGGTTCTGGGGGTGGGTTCAGGGGTGGTCGGGGTGATAGAGGTAGAGGAAGAGGTGGCGGAGGAAGAGGAGGAGACAGGGGTACGCCCTTCAAAGCTAGAGGTGGAGGAAGAGGTGGTGGTGGCCGTGGAGGAGGCCGGGGTGGTGGCCGTGGCGGTGGCAGAGGTGGAATGAAGGGTGGTAGCAAAGTCGTGGTTCAGCCACATAGACATGAAGGAATTTTCATTGCGAAGGGTAAAGAAGACGCACTTGTTACTAAGAATCTTGTTCCTGGAGAAGCTGTTTACAACGAGAAAAGGATAAATGTCCAGGTAGTTTTGTTTTTCATTTGTTAAGTTGATCAAGGTTACATTGATTATGTATGAAGTGATAGTTTTGTTTTGCAGAATGAAGATGGTTCCAAAGATGAATACAGAATTTGGAATCCTTTCCGTTCAAAGTTGGCTGCGGCCATCCTTGGTGGAGTTGACAACATCTGGATTGTAAGATTGTGTTTGCATCATATGTGCTCTGTTTAGTGTAGTTCTTCAAATACACACATTTTATTTATTTATTTTTTAATTATTTTTGTCTTTGTGCTTCATGAAGAAACCTGGAGCCAAAGTCCTTTACCTAGGAGCTGCTTCCGGGACCACTGTCTCTCATGTGTCTGACGTTGTTGGCCCTGTAAGTATACTATAGAATGCATAATCTTGGATCTGAGGAATATACTGGCTTACTAGAGTGTGTTGCTCTTTGTATGTAGTCGGGAGTTGTCTATGCAGTAGAGTTTTCTCATAGAAGCGGTCGTGATTTGGTCAACATGGCAAAAAAACGTACCAATGTCATTCCCATTATTGAAGATGCTAGACATCCAGCTAAATACAGAATGTTGGTTGGAATGGTTGATGTCATATTTTCAGATGTTGCCCAGCCTGATCAGGTGTGGTTTAATTCCTTACATCATACCTATTGAGATAGGTTCCAGCCTCATGTTTATAGCATACAAGTGTCCCATAACATTGATGTTACTTAAATCAGTATTGGCATGTTATTATAGTTTGTTTGATTTTGATTTCTCGACTTTTTCATTTGGTTGTCAAATATTAGACAGTTATCAACTTAAATTAATGATTTTATCTTTTAATTTGTATGAAACGTTGAATATAAAATAATCCTTAACACATCATGGATGATGCAGTTTTACTCGAATTTAACCATTTTCCTTGTTTTACTCGAATATAGTTCTAATAAATTGGAATAATCTGTGCATATGACGAGTTACTCGGATTCCCCTTCAAGACATCATGGATGATGCAGGACCGAGATTCTGAAGCACATATCTTTATTTTTTGTACTGTTTTATTACTTAATTATTTTAAGTAAATTGCAGTGCTGGATTTATTTTTTGAGCCAATTTGTTCCCCACTTTGAGTAATCTAGTACTGAGTTTTTCTTTCAGTTGGGTAGTTTTAATTTTTATTCGTTATTCAGTTTGTCTTTGTGTCGAGCCAGTAGTCTGTGTGATAATCTATGCAGATGATGATTTACTCGGATTCCCCTTCAAGACATCATGGATGATGCAGACCCGAGTTTCTGATGCACATCAATTATTATTTTTGATATGTAACAGTTTTGATCAGTTAGTTGTTTGCATTTTCCCCTATATTGTATACATTTTTGTATTGAATGAGATACAGGTGTATAACATTTCAGTTATTATGTGTTTAGTCATATGATTTTTGGTGTGTGGATTCCTTTTTCCATTTGCTGCATTTCTATTTAAAGATACAAGCTCCTGAAAACAGTGTGAAATAACTGTTAGTTTTGAAACTAACAGTCAAACAACATTTGTTCTTGAAATTTTGGTGAGCATTGCAGGCAAGGATTTTGGGTTTGAATGCTTCGTACTATCTCAAAGCAGGAGGTCATTTTGTTATTTCAATCAAGGTATCTTCTGATGTCTTGTCATGTCTTTTCAAGACTTTATTGGTTGTATGATCAGTATGGTAAACCCTTTGGAAAGGGTTACCTAGTGCAAAAGTCGAGTAGATGGAGTCAGCTTTCACTCTTTTAACCTTGAGACTTTTCAGGCCTTAAACCCTAAACATTATCAAAATTAGAAAAATTTCTCTGTAGTTTAATTGTTCTCACTTGTATCGGTTGTATGTTTTATAGGCAAATTGCATAGACTCCACAGTCCCTGCTGAGGCAGTGTTTGAAAGCGAAGTAAACAAGTTGAAGGCAGATCAATTCAAACCATTCGAGCAAGTCACCCTTGAACCATTTGAGAGGGACCATGCCTGTGTGGTTGGTGGATACAGAATGCCCAAGAAGAAAAAGGATACTGCTTAGTATATTGCCTTTAAGTGGCACTAGGCTTGTACCAATGTTATTTCATGAGATTTGTTTTAATTTTGTTTTGAAACCTTGGTGATCGTCAAAATGCCCAAGGAAAATTATGTTGTGAACGTTCCAGTGGCCAGTAGTCGTGTACCAATGTCATTTCGTCAGATTTATTTATGTTCAGCTTCACAAATATTATTTTTGGCGGCAAAAAGATTGAGTAATGGGAACAGGAAGTAGCTAAGTAGATAACAATTGCGGGCAAAGTTAGGATGGCTGGATTTTCTTTTACAATATCGGAAGTATTAGACATTGTTTGATGTGTAAGAAACATCTCCTCAAACATTTGTTCCCCTAGATAGATTTGGAAGATGATTCACATACCTATAAAATGGAATAGGCTAGAAATTAGATTAGATAGATTTTGAAGATGATTCACATACCTATAAAATGGAATAGGCTATAAAATGGAATAGGCTAGAAATTAGATTGATCAGCTTATTGATAACTTGACATATTAGCTTGCTAATAACTTGACATATCAACATGTGGATAAGTTGATTAAAGTGTTTGGTGTTGTCTTTCTTGTGGGTATCTGATGAAAAAAACCTTGTGTTTATTAAGTCAAAATAAATCGAATTATGTTTGAAAATACCATTGCATTTTGGGCTTATTTTCACACAAATGTTATTTTTTGTGGAACTATTGACCTTCAATTTGTCAATTATGTTTTGTTTCAGGATGTAATCCACTATTGATGATAGTGTGATGAAGTACATTCAGGTCATTTTGGCACCAAATTATCTTATGACTTGATTAGCCTAATGAAACTCTCATTGAATCATGATGAATATTTTAGCACCAAATTATCTTATGACTTGATTAGCCTAATGAAAATCTACAGTTGTGAAACAAATAAGAGGTAACAAAAGAAACTTCAACATTTATTAGTCGTTGTAGGTCACTTATACGGTACATGACCAAAATATATTTTCTGAAAATAAAATATGTATGTAGGAATAACAAATATATTGTCATAATACCTCCTTTGGTTGTAGGTGATCCAACGTCTACTGTACTATGTGTATGATATATGCAAGGGTATATGATATATGCAAGGGTATTTGACCTTTGTCCAAGTCATACCACCTAAGATAAAGAACAACTTTGTAATTTCATGCATATTGTATGGTAAAAAAAAGGTTAAATATATGGTTATATCTTTTTGCTAGGGGAAAACCAAATCTTGCTTAAAACTTTTAATCAATTTAATCTTCAATAGGTGGAAAAAAAAAAAAAATTCTATCCCATGTGCAACATTGAAGAAGTAACATACAACCTCTAATATTTTCTTTACGAGGGTCAAGTCCATAGTCTAGAGTTCGATAAAGATAAACAAACACAACAAACCCCCAATTGTAGTTAGACACAAAAGTTAGGTCTTGTAAAAAGTAAAAGATACATCAAATGAACTCTAGAAGATGATGTATCTAGTATCAATAAACTTCCTATGATACATCAAATGTGTGCTCGAGCATGTTGAATAATAATATTATTGGCTGCATCATTAGGAAATTCTTGGAAGGCTACATTCAACCAAGAAAGTTTAATCGAATTTCCTTTGGTCACTCCTTTTGGTGGAAGTGACCTAATAAAGGTTCACAAAAACCTGTCAATTCACCATTGGTGGGATCAATAGCACACTCTTCATCAATTGGAATACTAAGTTCTAGGACAATATCTTCCAATGTTAGAGTTGGTTCTCTAACGGGAAGGTGAAAAATGTGAGTTTCTAATCACCACATCTCTACTAATGTTGTTATTAAGTGATAGTTTATATCAATATTTAAAATTATGAATAAATGTCAAAACCTGTTTCACGAATGAGATTCAATACACATTTGTCTAACAAATGAGAAGTTTTTGTTAACCATATTACATGACATCTTGGATGAAGTACTCATCCATTCCCTTCCCATATGACTTTTGTGTCATATTTGTCCTGTAAAAGTAATAAAGAGATGTTAACAAGAAGATGTTAATTGACCGCCATTTCTATATAAAAAAAGAGAGTAATTAGTGTAAATATATTTATTAAAATAATATATAAAATAATTAATATATAATAATTGATAATATAATAACATACTAAATATAATTTATATATAAATAATAATTGTATAGTAAGTAAATAACTTACATAATAAATAATAGTGAATAATAATTATATAAATATACAAATATATTAAATACAATATATAATTATATACAAATTAAATAATATTATAATAATTATATAGTAAATAATTATACACAAAGTAAATAATTATGTCCAAAATAAATAACACACAATAAATAATTTACACATTAAATAACATTAAATAATTTATATACAAATAATAATTATACTAAATTTTATTACAGTAAATTATATAAATAATATTATACTTCCTAAAAAAAAAAGACAAAGTATGAATATTGTAAAAAAATACAAGTTATCAAGGTAAACTTCCTAAAAATTAGTAGTGTTAGCGAATGTGCTAGGTAATAAGGTAATGACTACCTTATCCAATTTAATTAAACCTTTAAAAAATATTGTCTAAATTATTGTAATATGGAAAAATTGATGGTGGTTGTAGTTCATTGTCAAATAAACAAGAACCAATTACAATGGATATTTTTCATGATTTTGATGAAGACAATAATCATGTAGATGATGAAGAAGTTGATACATAGATCCTCCCTCCCAATGATGGACCTATATATATATACACGAAAGTATATATATACATGAAAGTATACATGTGCACCCCTTGATTTTGTTAAAATTATTACTATGTATTTGAAATTTTTTTATTTTGTCCCCTAATCTTATATATTTGAACCTGCTGGCTGTTGCTCTATGATAGATCTATGTGTAGTTGAAAGTGTAGAATTTTATGATGCTAATTGTTAATAATTTATATTATTTGAAAAGTAAATTGTCCTCATTAACTTAGGGTTTTAGATCAGCCATTCCTTCCTCCATAAAAAGTGATAGACAACGTGCACAATCTTCTAATAAGTGTAATTAAACATTTTCATATTGAGCAAGTTTATAAATATTTTCTAGTTGAGTCAAAGTTTGGTAAATATATTGTTCAATGTATCCATTATGAGAATGAATGCCAACAGAGACTCAGAGTTTCACTAAGTAAAATTCGACAACAATGAGAAATAAAAAAAATTAAAACAAATCATACATGTTTATTAACTATGCTATCTATTGATCATCAAAATTTAGTCTCAAATAAAATTGCTCATATTGTTTATGAATTGGTCAAAGTAGATGCTTCTATTCCTATAAAAATTTTGATTGCAGAAATTTAAAGTAATCATGATTATTCACATAGCTACAAAAAAGCCTAGATAGAAAAAAAAAACACTTGTTATGACCTTTAGTAATTGGAAAGAGTCATACAACCATATTTCCATATGGTAATTTTTAAAGAATATGACATGAAATAACCAAGACTTCTAAATAAATTATCAGCTTTGAGGTCAGAGTTTCAACAAACTACTTATTGGTTGGATCAGATTTCCATTGCAAAAATGGATACATACATGTGATTGAGGAAAAATATATGAGCATATCACCAACTATCTAGCAGAATGTATGAACTGTATTTTAAAAGGAGCACAAACTTTACCAATTTGTACTCTAGTCAAAACCATATTTAAAAGAATGAAATCATAATTTTTCGAACATGACATGAAAGTAGAGACCAATTTACGAGTAGGACCTGAATATCCTAAAGAGATTGCTACTTTGCATAGAGAACACCAACAACGGACCGACATGTGTCATGTCTAAAGACATAGTAAGAAAAATGGTGAGTTTTAAGTTTAAGAGTTATCAAACCAAAACATGGTGGGCAAGAATAAAGGTATATAGTAAGATTACATGACTGTTGGTATGATTGTGGAGAGTTTCAAACTCTCCGATTACTTTGTTTACATGTTATTGCTATGTGTTCCTCATGTCATTTGTATATTGGTACATATATTGTTTCAATATACATGTTAGATTGAATTTTCAAAATTTAAGAGCATTAATTTTATCAAGTACAAAATGAAGATTAGTGGTCTTTGTATACTGGTCCAAATTTTATTTTAAACCCAACTATTCAATGGAAACAATAAAGAAGGTCTATTATGACACACATCCACAACGAAATGGATAGTTCAAATCCAAATAAGTAAAAAAACTACCCATTTAATTGTATTGAGGATCATGATCATAGTAATTATCTACATAGATAATAATATTATAATATTTCACTTTCAATATTAAAGTATTTTTTTTAACTATTCTTAAATTTTTAATTTTTTTACTTATAAATTTTAAATCTTACAATACAATAAATACATAAATATTACATTACATATAATATTATTTTATAATTAAATTAAGAAATAAAGAAAAAGAATAAAATGAAAAAAAACCATAAAAAAATTACAAAGAACTCTTGAACGACTTTGAAAAAAAAATCACTCATACTACATAGCATGGGTTTGGAATTAAATAAAAACCCAAATTTATGCTATGTAGCACGGATTGTTAAAAAAAGAAAAGAAAAGAGAATTCTTATTAGATAGCATAATTTTCTTATTAGATAATTGTGTTGCATAAGCGTCCATTTTCATAAAGTTTTAGAAAGTTACACCAATAAATGTGGTGAATCATTACCAGAATATTAGGTTTTATCGATGAATATTTACTGACGGAAAACCATTCGTATGTGATATCCCATCTTTGTAGATATATCCACCAGTAAGGTTGTTAAATGGCACATACAAAATCCGTTAGTAAGATTTGTCAAAAAGTTCAATGTTGAATTTTATTGAAGGAATTTATCCATAATATTTATCCGTCGATAAATGACATAGACATTATCCGTCGTCAAGTTTGTCGCAATATGTCTGGAACTGTTTTGGAGGAGCTTATCGAAGGATGTTTCCGTTAGTAA